GTCTTCGCGCCTGCCTGCCACCTTGTCTTCCCAGCAGCCCCGAACCGCTGAGCCGGCGAACTGCCGCCGCCGCCGCCGCCGCGGAGCACTGACGGCCGGCTGCCGCCGCTGGCCTTGCTTTCAGGTTTGGCTGCTGGGCATGTTGGGGGTGGGGGAGAAGAAGGGGGAGGATCCCTCCAGCCCAGGTTAAAAGTGCCGCGGAGGATGGAGGCTCGCTGGGAGAGCGCGGGGAGGAGGACGCCCTGGAGCAAATCTCCTCCGCGCCGCCCGCTTGCAGACAATAGCTGGGGAAGGGAATGGGCGCTAGGTTTAGAGCTTCCCCAGCTGGGATAATGGCCAGGCTGGCCCGAGAAGCCTCCTGAGCGCTTGTCTCCCTTCCGTACAGCGCGGCTCCTCCTGGCCTGCCCCGGCTCTGAACATGATGGACCTGAAGGTGGACGAGGAGGAGGTGGAGAACGGTCAGCCGGTCAGCATCGAGGCGTTCGCCAGCAGTTCCACGCTGCACGGCCTGTCCCACATCTTTTCCTACGAGCGCCTCTCCGTCAAGCGCTTCTTCTGGACCCTGTGCTTCCTGGGCTCCCTGGCGGTGCTGGTCTTCGTCTGCAATGAGAGGATCCAGTATTACTTTCGCTACCCTCACGTCACCAAGCTGGACGAGGTGGCTGCCACCCACATGACCTTCCCAGCCATCACCTTCTGCAACCTGAACGAGTTCCGCTTCAGCCGAGTGACCAAGAATGATCTGTACCATGCTGGGGAGCTCCTCGCCCTGCTTAACAGCAGGTGGGTCAAAGTGTGGGGAGGGGGAGCCCTTCTCCCCATGCCCTGCAAGAGTGCAAAACCAGAGGTCCCAAAGCCTCTCTGGGTTGGCACGCAACAGTTGGTACACTTGCAGCCATCACGGGAGATACTGTGTGTGTGTGTCTGTGCGTGCGCATGCATGTGCGTGTGTTGGGAACCTATTTGGACTGTGCACTGAAGTGTGCAACATGTATATTTCCATACTGTGATCTGACACACATTTGAGAGTGTTTCTGGGTGACAGTCTGTGGGGCACCGGTAGAAGGCAATGGCAAACTATTTCCATATTGTCACCAAGAAAACTACATAGCTGCATCTATGAAGTCAGCAGGAGCAGAGGCCAAGTTGAGGGAGACTTGACTTTATATATTTGGTCACCTACATGGGCTTCATATGGCTTTGGAGGTGGTTTATGTCTGTGTTATATTGACAGCCTCCCTTTCTCCAGGATATCTGCCCCTTTGATTCCCACAGCAACAATCCTGTAAGGTAGGTAGGGCTGAAATAGTGACTGGCTCAAGTCACCCAGTGAGTTTCTGCAGCTGAATATGGCCAGATCTTCTTCATCCACCCATTGATCATTGCATTTCATCGTTTCTCCATGCTGTATACAGCCTGAAACAAGCCAGACGTGTGGCTCCATGCCCTTGGCTCCTTTCAGATGCAATACATATGACTGTAACAGCTGTCTGCCACCTGCTTCTGGCAATGGGTCCTATATGACCCCATGGTGCCTGCTTTGATCCTGTTCCCTATTTTATTCTGTTCATGCACTTTAAAAGTGATGCGCTCCCATGCTGTGGATTGAGCCACAAGTATTTCTTGTACACAAGTATTTCTTGTTCTTGTTATTTCTTGTTCTCACTGTATTCGTGACACAAGGCAGCCAGTGTTGTCTGCTGCTTGAACTCTCCTGGGTTCAGATTCTTGGAGCTGAGATCTGTAGTCAGTCGCGAATCAGCCTGGGAGGGCAAATCAGAGTTTGGGCTTCCTGGATATCAGCTGTACAGGAGCAATAGTGAGAGTCCCTTCTGGGAGGAAACTGAGCCATTGGAAGCCAAGGCTGCCCACTCCTTGTTTTCAGGGCTACAGGGAAGAACTCCGGAGTCAGGATTCCAAGAGGCCCCCCAAAAGCCCCTATTCCATCTTTCTTGTCTCAGCATTTTACTGCCCTCTACTGGGGAGAATTGCAATTCCCCAGCATCTAAAAGTAACTTCTCCTTTGAACTGGGCTTGACTCCTAGTGAATTAATGAATATATCCATGTTGTTTTCTTGGCAACAGCATAAAAACAGTTGGCCACTGTTTTCTTCCAGGATTTGTTCTGATTTCCCAGTCTAGACTATAGTCTTGGGATCTCCTGGTGGTCTCCCACCTAGGTCTAACCAGGTTCTTGGTTAATACCCAGAACCAGGTATTAGTAAATTTGATCAGGCCAGCTCAGCCAGGTGCTTCCTGGCTTGCTTCAGTTGTATTCCTAAAAACAGCAAGAGAGGGTGAGAAATCTCTGTCAATTAGCTTTTGTGGATTTTAACTCAGGATGGTGTGGAATTTAGCTATTGGGGGTGAAGGGAGGAGAAGTGTTAGTACTTTCCTCCTCCCACTGCAAGGCTTTCTTGTGTGATGTGATCTGTTCTGTGTGGTATACACAGGACTTTTTACAATTAAGAGGATCGAGCAGAATGTCCTTTTCTCAGTGCATCCTATATCAGAATGATTTTTCTTCACTCCTTTTTTTTTTCTGTTGAAGTCCATGGCACAATCAATCCTTGGAATTATATTTTAAATGATTAATTCTAGTACTTGAATGACAAATATTTCACTATAGAATCATACTTGCCTGGAGCAATTGACCCCCACTGCATGCCTTGCTACCTGCTCTCTATCCAAGACAAATATGACAAGAGTCCTGAGTCATGAAAAAAAAAAAGCTAGTGTTACAAAATGTCCCTTTCTTTTGCAAGAATTTTTTCTTTCTTTTAAGGGCTATTCTTTAGTCAAAATGCCACTATTTCATAGAGCATAACAAACTGTCCTTTATATCAGAACATCAAAAACCAAAGAAGAACCATTTGGATTAGACAAAAGGTCCAAACCTATTTCTAGTAGCTACCAGCGAGATGGTGGTGGAAGACTTAAAAACTTAAGAATAGGACATAAAAGCAATGGGCCTCTCTTCCTGCCCTGCCCTTCCTAATGATGTACAAAGGTATACTGCCACTCACCAAGGAGGCTTTGTTTAGCTGTCAGGGCTCAGAGCTTAGGATAGATATCACCTCCATGCGTTTGCTTCTACCTCTTTTTAAAGTTGCCTAAACTAATGGTCAACCCTACATTTTGAAATGGTTAGTTTTATAAGTTAAAATTTGTCATTTTAATGAAAAAGCTGCTGCCCTGAGTGAAGCTGGCGGTCCATCTAATCAATTGGGTCTCATAGAAGTAGCCAGATCAGGGAAGCATCAGCTGAGCACATTCCTGGCAGTTTATTCTGAGTTTCTCTTGTGGGGGTGGAATCCAAAATTTAGGGTAGACTGGGTAGTCCATCTTTGCTCCTTGTAGGTAGTAAGGCTTGGGTGTCTTGCTACCTGCTTCCCAAAGATAAAAAAGGTGTGCTCTTTTCTGCAACTGCAATCTGGGAAAAAGAGAAGAAAGAGGAGCGGCATAGACAGCTTGTATGTAAGTATTTGTAGCAATTCGACCTATGGCGCTGATCTAATGTGGTTCTCCATGTGCAAAATATGCCATCTGCTGATCCATCGGGGTTTTCAGAATCATAGTAGAATATACTGTGTATGTGTCAGTTGTGGGTGGTGGAAAAAAGTCTTACAATTTCCTATTCTTGGTTCTCATGACAGAGGGAGCCTTGTACAAAGCCAAGAATGGGATATTTGGGGGGTCTTCAGAATTGATACTCCTGCACTCCCACCCTGCAAGACTAGTTTAACTACAGAAGAAAAAGATTTTGGGATCTGGATTGTTGCATACAGTTTTGCATGTTTATGGAAAATAAGCAGCTATGCATAAACCCTGTGCATTTACTTATTCCAAGAATCAAATTTATGGTTTCCTGATGGAGAATATGTTTTTGATTTATCCTTTCATTTTGCCAGCTGAGAAACACATTTGTGGTTGGCTGCAGGTTTCTCTGAAAATTATGGAATTTTTCACATCTGAAAAATGTGCCAGCCAGATACTAATTCCTTGAAGTGCCAGGAAGCTAACTGCCTACAGTTTGACATTAGTCCCATAGCACTGGCCAAGCTTTCTCAGTCTGGGGCCTTCCAAATAGAGTGGGATGGTAACTTCCAGAATTCATCAGTTGGTTAGAGTTTTAATACTTCTCGAGGTCATTAGATTGAGGAAGACTCTGAATTGTCAATCAGGTAATATCAGTGAGCCCATCTGGTACGATTGAATGATACAGAGCATCCGAGGATGGCTGCATTCTGCCCATCTCTGGACAGCTGGGGGAAGTCTCCAGACTCCTCCCTGTGCCCAGCAACCTGCCTCTTTCCTTCTTGCTCCACAAATCTGCTTGAATGCCTGATCCTTTATTTATAACCCTTATTGATTCCTTTTGCAAAAATAGAAAGCAGTTTAGACATGTCAGAAATCAACATATCAGAAGACACGGTCAAAAGAGTTCCAGGGATCATGCTATTCTAAGTCATCCTAAGGTGACTGAAATGTTGTATTTGCAGATGTTACTGGCCAGTGTTTCTGGCCCACTAAATAACCGTACCATCCCAATCCACCCTTCCTTCCTTATACAAACATGACTTGTATGCTGCCTCACGTCACAAAGGGGCCATCGAAAATGTTCTGCCAGTTCTGTGTGATCAGAAAGGATCCAATAGAAGAGAGTATCTGTAGCTCAGGGTTGTACTGTGGAGTCCTTGGTGCTCTCTGAGCTTGGTCGTTTGCTTGCAGACGTTTCATTCCCTGACTAGTCACTGTAACATCATCAGTGCTAGTGAGTGTGGGGTTTGCTCCCTGTTTATGTACAGTAGCTTGTCCTTCCAGTGTTGGTGGGGGCGTGGTTTTCTCAGAAAGAAACATAAGCTCCAGGTCATACTAGGCGCACCTATTGTCAGGAAATCACCATTACACTTGTGTATATGTTGGAGATCTCAGGGACTGATGTTATGCCAGGTTTCAACAGCATACTTTGCAATCGCAACTGATTCTAATAACCTGCTTTCTCCAACAGGTGCAGGCAAACTGGGCAACATCCAACTTTCGCAACTTACATTGATTCAGCATATGTTCATACCTTGGGTGGCTTGCGCATGAAAACTGCTATGCAGTGGTGTACGGCACTGAACCATGTTCTTGACCACGAGAAAGCTTGTTCAGGTCCTTCACTGGACTCCTGCTATTTCTTAAAGCATTGCCCACAGACTTCTTTTCTAGTCTTTAAGGGCAAGAAACTTTGTTTTAAAGCAAAGTGAGATTCCAGGAGTTAAAGGTGTCTCCCAAAGTACTTTTCATGTGGCAGGCTTTCACTTTCCCTGTTTAGCACTTTGATAGTTGTCCTAGTAGGAGGACTAGGAACATTCCTCTAAGGCAGGGAAGCAAAAAGTCAGCCTGGGACCTTGGTACCTGACCTCAGAGTGCAAAATGTGT